TTTTCTCTCGTTTTTCATCGATTTCTTCATATTTTCCATTGTCGAACACGGATTTGGACTCGGATTTTGCTACTGCTTGTGGATTAATCTTGTTTATCAGATTCAACTCTCAATTTCGATTTAACGTAAGATTTTCTATTCTTCTAATCCATGAATATGTTTGTCTTGAGTTGTGAGATTGTTTGTGTTGAATCAATCATGAGTAGCTAAATTCATATGCTAGAGAATAGGGGATTAATGTTTTGAATTCGTTTGTGATTGTTGGGATTTATTGATCGTTCTATTTGTACGAGTTATGCTTCAAAAGGGTTTTTCAAATATTGAGCCTGAGTATTGAGAATTATTGAAGAGTGACACTTCAATTTCCAATCTACGATTGAATTCGATGTATTCTCGCATGATAATGGTTATTCTTATTGATTAGTCGGTTGACAACCTTCTAGTCTAATCTAATCGACTCTTAGAACCGGAAGGGGAGGAGTCGGTCGAAATAGGCTCGTACAAACTAGGCTTGTTCGTAACTGTATTGCCTAGGAGTTAAATGACTTGTTAATTTTGCCGTTCAAGTTTGTTCTCTTGTTACGAAGAGTTATTGAGGATGAGTACTTAAACGAGCAAATTATTCAAATCACTTAACCGAATGATCACTTGCCCAATTGTCACAACTCGAACCAAAACGGATATCCCCGACTCCCTAGCTCCTTAAATCCTATTTGTTCTTCGTCGTTGCTTACTATTTTCATTTGCTTTATCTGAAGTTGTTCTTCGTAGTTAATAATCAAACCAAATCATTTGAATTAGAATGTCTAGGATCTTTATTTCTTTTATTTGTTTTTTTTGAATAAACGAATAGAATATTCCGGCTAACCTTCCTCGTGAGACACGACCCGGTGTTCGAATCTTTAGATTCTACTCCGAAAAAATATTTACAACATGTAGCTTGGATGATATGATGTATAGTTTCATTTTTCTTCATTGGATTCTTTTTCAGACAAGGTCATGTGAAAAGAAATTTGACCAACACAATACCAATTGCAATAATATCGGGCAAGGCCATGTGAACATTAATATTTTACATTATTACTTTGCATTAGATTATTTTGCAGCATTGGATTCTTTTCTATTGGGTGACAAATGAATAAACAATTAATTGGCATTGATTTCTTTTGCATTGGATTCTTTTTTGTAAGTGAACAAATTTGACCAATACAATGCCAAATGCAATAATTTCGGACATGGCCATGTGAACATTATTACTCTCCATTATTGTTGGACAATGACCAATGGTACATCTAACATTGGATTCTTTCCGGATAAGACCATGTGAAGTGAACAAATTTGACCAACACAATGCCAAATGCAATAATTTCAGACGAGGTCATGTGAAACATTATTACTCTACATTATTGTTGGACAATGACCAATGGTACATCTAACCATTGGATTCTTTCCGGATAAGACAATGTAAAGTGAACAAATTTGACCAACACAATGCAAAATGCAATAATTTCAGACAAGCCCATGTGAACATTATTACTTTGCAACATTATATTCTTTTCTATTGAATGACAAATGAATAAGCAATTAGTTGGCATTGATTTCTTTTGCCTTGGATTCCTTTCTATAGTCACTATACTTGTTTTGCATGTGAATTCGTTTCTTTATTTATAGATCACACTTCAAGAAGCAACCACACACATATCTTATTTTTTCTTCCATTATTGAAGTGTTCTTGTTCCCACTTTTCTTGAATATCTTTTTCTTGAAAATGTCTTCTTCAAAAGGGCCAAAATACTCCAAAACAGAAGATGTCTTAATTGTGAGATGCTACATTAGTGTTTCAGAGAATCCAATATCATCAAATGACCAAAGTTCTTCAACCTTTTGGAAAAAAATACATGATGAATATAACTCCCAAAAACACAAGGATTTACTAGAACGCTCTATAAGGTCTCTTGACTCTCGTTACTGTCTTATGGAAACTCATTGTCGGAGGTTTAATGGATGTTTGAAGCAAATCGAATATCGCAATCCTAGTGGGACACAAACCCAAGATAGGGTGGGTAGTTTGATTTAAGTTCAATCTCTTTCATGTTATTTGTTTGTTTTATAGGTATACTTACAATTATATATTTTTTACTTTATTAGTAGATTGAGCAAGCCGAACGATTATTTGAACAAGACCCAAAATATAAAGATGGCTTCAAGTTCCAACATGTGTTCCGACTCTTCAAAGAGTTTGGAAAATTTGATGATAATGTCTCCCAACCACGATCTCGTCGTCGGGATTTCGATACACTCAATGACTCTTCTGAGTCCGACGTTCCATATGATGGACAACCAACAACAGAGTCTCCGGGATTGTCGTTTTTTAGTCTTCAACAAAGTGACGATGGTGTTGGTGGAACATCCTCTCAACGATGGTGTTGGTGGAACATCCTCTCAACGTCCAATTTTGCCAATATTTTCAAACTCTAAATACTAAAAGTGATATTATTGTTGATTTGTTGCAGAAATCCGAAAAACGTCAAAGTGTCCAACTTCAATTGCAGAAACAACAACTTGATTTGCAAAAAAGGAGGGACGAAGATAGAATATTGATGATAGATTTGAATTCCCTTACGAATCCCATGATACGTCGACATTGGGAACAAAAACAAATGCAAATTTTACAAGAAAGAGAATTTGAGAAACAACAATCTCAAGCAACACCACCATCATCTAACACGGGTGAATTTGGATTTCTCGACAACATCGGGCATGACGGAGGAAATTTGAATGATTATTATGGTGACAATTAAGTCTATGTAATCGTCTATTTTATATTCTTTTTTCGTTTTTTATGTTCCATATGCTTTATCGTTCTTGTAGTATGTGTGAGCTTTAAGTATAAGTTTTTTTTAGTTTATCTTTATGTTGTGATTTTAATTTTAGTGTTTGTACCGTTAATTTTAAGTGAGTTGAATGTTTATCCTTATTTTGTAATTTTAACTTGTTTGTTTGAAATATTTATTTAAGTGAATTTAAGTACTAATTAATATTATATCATATTAATTAATAAAAATATTTAATTCTTTATCACACTACTTAAAATTCTACCATATTAATTACAATAATTAAGTTTAAAACATTTATAAAAATATTTTAATTGAACTCATAAAACTATTTGAATTGTAGTTAAAAAAAGCCCAACTACAATACATCATTTAGGCCCAAAATATAACCCAATTACATTTTTAGACAAAAAAAAAAAAAGATAAAGCGGAGAGGGTGAACAGTGGAACAACGTGGGAACCGTTCCACAAAATCAAGCGAAGCATTTCTGGAAAATGAAGAGAGCCCATTGGAGATAGTTTTCCTCCAACCGTGCCGTTTCCTACAGGTATGAAGGGCCGGTTGGAGATGCTCTTAGCCCTCGCTCGTTCTTGTAAACTTGTATGTTTTCATTCTAACCAATTTTTGAGCTACTAAAATTCATGTTTTTCCACATAGCAACATAAATTGATTTTCATTCATTTAAAAATAGTTGTAATCTTTTCTAAAGCTTCTGAGAAATGAAACCATTAATAAATCGGTACATGTTTTGGATATGAGTTGCCATCATCGTTTCCTTTTTCGTTTTTTCGAAAAACAAGAAGCTGCACCCATAGCCATTCAATGAATATAATCAAGCTTTGATTTTGATTTCACAATACAAATCAAGTCACTCGAGTAAATTGTGACACATGACAACATAACATGTAAGTATATTAACTATATGTGTAAAGAGTGACTTAACCAAAATTAATTTTGAGTCAAAATTGCATTCGAAGCTACACAATCCAAGCGGTGGGTGATCTGCCTTATTGTGTGGGTTGTATTATTGGAGATTGTGGGCCGAAGCGTTATGGAGTCGAGCGCCCATTAGAGAGATGAAGCTCCCATTAAAGAGATAAAAGCTCCCATTATAGAAAGTAAATGTGTGAAGGAAGGCCAATATGGAGATTGGGTCAAAGCGGTGGATGGAGGGATATGGGTGGAAGCTAACTCTCCTTCAAAAGGAACCACTTCCAGAGGGGATCCTAGCCCTAGTAACCACTCCAATGAAAACTACAGAGAAGAAGTAAGAGATCCCAGAGAGTCAAAAAGTAATGAGCACAGCCAGACTAGAGGATCTAATAACCAGGTGAATTTTACAGTTCCACCTCTGACTATGGTGGAATTTTCATCAGCTGGGCAAATGATGGAGAAAGGAGGAGAGATTGACATCAACATGCCTAAGATGTCCAATGAGCAGATGCAGGTGGAAGAGACTATAGTGTCAAGGGGGGCAGACAAAAACACCATGCCAGATTCCCAGCTAGTGATTTTCAAGAAACCAGAAGAGTCTCAGAGGGGGAGAACATGGAAGAGAACCTCAAAAAATGAAGGTAGACTAATAAGAAATTCAAACACCATGGAAACAGAAATTCCTATGAAGAAGAAGAAGAGAGCAATGGCAGCCAATGAGGGAGATAGTCCTGAAGAAGAAGAAGATGAAGCTGCACATTTAAAGAAGGCCAAACTGAAGGTGACATTGGTGGGGGAAGCCAGCCACAATTGGCCCCAAAGTGATCAATGAGAGCGGTGGTGTGGAATTGTAGAGGGCTGGGTGGGCCCTCTACAGTTCCCCAATTGCGAGAGTCCTTAGTGGCTCACCATCCAAATTTTGTGTTTTTATCTGAAGTAAAAAAGAAAAAAAAAAAATTGTTTCTAATGTTTGTAAAAGGCTAGGTTTTGTAGAAAGGTGGCACTACCAAGAACCTCATGGCACCAGAGGAGGATTACTACTGTGTTGGGACAGAGACACAGACATTCTTTCCCTCAACAACAATGAATTCTGCATTCAAGTCCAATTCAAAGCTAAGGGATCTATGCTGGCAGAGTGGGCTATATTTGTATACATCAGTACTATCAAGCAAGAGAGGACATTGCAGTGGCAGTTTTTGGTGGATGAAAAAAGGAAATGGGGAGACTATTGGATAATCTCAGGGGACTGGAATGATCTCAGCAGCCCAGAAGAGAGAAAAGGGGGAAATATCAGATCTGCAAGAAATTGTCAAGGGTTTAATGACTTCATTGCTTTGATGGGAATGTGTCTAGTACACATGGAGGGGCACAAGTTTACATGGGGGAATAACAGAGAAGAAGAGGGGTATGTGGAAGAAGTGTTGGATAAAACATTTGTATCATACCAGTGGATGTGCAAGTACCCCCAAACCAGAGTGCAAAATGTTATCAAAACTGCATCAGATCACAGTTTGTTGCTGATAGAAGATGGACAGAAAATAAAAACCACGCATAGAAGATTCCATTTCGACAAGAGGTGGATCCAAAGGGAGGAAGTACAGGAAACAGTTTTACAGGCTTGGAGTGAAAGCTCTGAAGGTACTCCGATGTTCATCTTGAAAGAGAAAGTTAAACAGACTAGAGCAGCTCTTATACAGTGGAATAAAGCTCTGAATCTCAACAAAAGAGCTGACATTGACAGTCTCACAGTGAAACTTACTGAGATGAGAAAGTTGGGAGGAGGGAGAAATTGGCAAGAATGGGAAAAATTGCAGAAAGAGCTTGATGAAGCCCATTGCTCAGAAGAACAATTCTGGCTACAGAAATCAAGGATTCTTTGGTTGAAGGAGGGTGACCAAAACACAAAGTTTTTTCATGCTATGACTATGCAAAGGAGGAAACAGAATGCTATTTCGAGGCTGGTAGATGGGAATAGAGAGATTACTTCAGAAAGGGAAATTGGAGAGCACATTCTCAAGTTCTATGAAGACCTTTTCACTTCAGAAGGCTCTCTACATGAAGATGTGGCTTTGCAGCATATAAGGCCAGTTATTTCATCAACAATGAACAGAGCTCTTAAGGCAGAAGTGGGAGAGCTGGAAATCCAAAAATCTCTTTTTCAGATGAACCCTTCTAAGGCACCTGGTGAAGATGGGATGACTGCACTTTTTTATCAACATTTTTGGCCACTTCTGAAGGAGGACTTGTGCAGAGCAGTGACTAGCTTCTTTGAATCAGGGCAACTTTTGAAATATTGGAATCATACTGTAGTGGTTCTTATTCCGAAGTGTCTAAACCCTGAATCCATTAACAACTTTCGACCTATCAGCTTGTGTGGGGTAGTGTATAAGGTAATTGCTAAGATTCTTGCCAACAGGTTGAAGAATTGTCTAGATTGTTGTATCAGTCAAGCACAAGCAGCCTTCATTCCAGGCAGACAGCTTATGGATAATGTAGTCATTGCTCAGAAGATATTCCACTTCCTCAACAGACATAGAACTGGAAAGAACTGCTTCATGGCTCTAAAGCTGGACATGCTTAAAGCTTATGACCGAATGGAGTGGGGAGGTGCTTGTAAAACTATGCTGAAAATGGGATTTGAGCCAGTCTTTGTCAAGTGGATTTATGCTTGTATCTCTTCACCAACCTTCTCTTTCTTGATAAATGGGCAACCCAGAGGCTACCTAACCCCTTCTAGAGGACTCAGACAGGGAGACCCAATTTCCCCCTATCTATTTTTGATTGTGTCTGAGGTGCTGTCATTATTGATAAGAGGAGCAGTTAGCAATGGGGACTTTAAAGGAATTAGAATTGCAAGGACAGGACCAACTCTAACCCATCTGCTATTTGCAGATGATACTCTTATATTCTGTAAAGCTGATACCAGACAAGTGGGAGTGCTGAGGGACATTCTTCACTTGTATCACAAGTTTTCAGGCCAAAGGGTGAATTTGAACAAGTCTACAGCCTTTTTCAGCAAAAATACTCACCCTCAAATGAAGACTGCATTGTGTACACTCCTTCAGGGAATTGAAGAGCATAACTCAACCAGGTACCTTGGACTGCCCCTGGGGATTGGGAAATCAAAAAAAGAAACTTTTGACTATCTTATTGAGGCAGTAAAAAAGAAGATGGTGAGTTGGAAGAACATATTCTTATCTACTGCAGGAAAAGAGGTGTTGGTAAGAGCAGTGATCAATGCCCTACCAGTCTTCACCATGTCTTGTTTTAGGTTGCCTAAGGGGATATGTGAGGAGCTGAGCAGGGTTACAGCAGCCTTTTGGTGGAGTAAGGGGGAGAACATGGAGAGTGGAATACATTGGAGGAAATGGAGTATGCTGGCTCAAACAAAAAGCAGTGGTGGGTTGGGGTTTCAAGACTATAAGGTGTTTAATGAGGCACTCCTTTTGAAACAGCTTTGGAGGATTACCACATTGCCTAACCTGTTAGTGAGCAAAGTGCTGAAAACCAGGTACTATCCAGCCACTTCCATCTTTGAGGTTAAAAAGAGCCAATCTGCTTCTTGGCTTTGGAACAATTGGGTGGAGATCATACCAGCTTTTGCTCAAGGTCTGAAAAGAGAGATTAGGGATGGTAAGCTTACCAAGATCCAGGATAGTTGTTGGGGTACCAAAGTTGAATCACAAATGCCCTACTTTGTTGAACACTGGAAATGGGTCTCCTATATGGGTCAGTGAGCTGTTGAAAGATGATGGCAATAGCTGGGATGAGGAGTTGATTAACCAACTGTTCAGTGACAGTGATAGAGATGCTATTCTGGAAATTAAATCCCTTGCACCTGAGCAGCAAGACAGATGGAGATGGTCTGTTGAGAGGAACGGTAACTTCTCGGTTGCTAGTTCATATAGCCACCTGTTAACTCAGAAAATTCTGCAAATAGATGTGGCAGAGGGGAGCAGATCAGCTTTGAGTGATAAGAAAGCTAGAGATAGAACTTGGAAACTGAATGTTAAAGGGAAGATTAAGCACTTCCTATGGAAGTGTTTTACAGGGACATTACCTGTAGGCATTAATGTGGCTAAGAAGGGGGTGCAAGTAGATACAACCTGCAAGATGTGTGGGGAGAAGCAGGAGTCCATTGAACATCTTCTCCTTTCCTGCAACAGAGCAAGAAAAATTTGGAAAATGTCACCATTAGCATGGGAGGAGAAGACTTTGTGTGCACCATCTTTCAAAATGTGGTGGTGGGATATCTGTGACTTAGAGAAATCTGACATAGCCGAGGATCGCATGCAATTATCTACGTATATCTTATGGTGGTTATGGCGATCCCGAAACTTATGGATCTTTGAGCAGGTGTGGATGCCGGAAGAGGTTGTGGTTCGAGGGGCGTGGAGAGAATGGCAGGAATTTGTGTCGGTTAAGAATTAGTTGCTAGTGTTTTTAGTTTTCGGTCGTGTGTTTTTTTCTTGTGTTGTTTGTGGCTTGTGTAGTGGCTTGTAGTAGGGTTATCGAGGGAAAGTTTCGGTGGTTGTATCCCCGCTTTTTCTTGTATTTGTTTTGGTTTTTTTTCTAGATCACTCTTTGAGTGTATCTCCCAATGTAGTTGTACTCTATCGAACTTTGTTCGGGTTTCCGTTTAATTAAACTTCTATCGTTGGAAAAAAAAAAAAAATTGATTAATAGAGTGTAAATTATTTTCAACTATTAATATCATTATATTATTTAATATAATCACAAGCTTTCTATAAAACTAGCAATCTGCTTTTGCAGCACAAATGTGGCCTCCGACTCCGGGTTCCACACGTGAAACACGTGCCCCTCCTCATCAGCCTCAATCAAGTTCACCCTCTCCACACCATTCCCCTTCAAGAACTCCGCATACATTACCCCTCTCTCTCTCAAGAAATCCATCCCGGCCACGAACACCAAAACCGCCGGAAAACGAGCCCACTCGGCATCCTCCTTCGTGTAATCGCACCCGTAAAAGCCACGGCCCGACCCCTCCGGCAAGCTCAGCCGCCAGAACATGTCGTTCATCGCCACCTCATCGGCCGACCCTCCACCGCCGGCCGCCTCTAACTCCGTCCGCTCATCGCTCCCGAAAAAGGGGTGGATCGGCAAGAGCCCGCGGATCCCAATTCCCGGGATATTCCCTTTCACGGACAGCGCCGCGACTCGGTGCGCTATGTTCCCTCCGGCGCTGTCCCCGCAGAGGAAAACCCTCGAGCGGTCGGCTCGGTCAAGCCACGGCCCACTGGCCGAACCGAGCCACTCAAGGGCGGCGATGCAGTCGTTGTAGGCAATCGGGAGTCTGTGCTCCGGGGCGAGGCGGTAGTCGATTGAGACGATGTAGGCCTGAGCGACGGCCGACAGGTTGCCGAGGAAGACATGGTAACCGAGCCATGTGGTGGAGCCGATGCAGAAGCCGCCACCGTGAAAGTAGACGATGACAGGGAGTTTTTGTTGTTGTTGTTGTTGTTGTTTTGGTTGACTGACTGGGTCGGAGGGAGAAAAGATTCGAGCGGTTATTGACTTGGATGGGTCGATTGTGACGTCATTGGACTTGTATTTGTCCGAGAGGGTTGCCGATGGGTCGACAGTCTTAGGGTTAAAGCGTTTGACCGTGCCATCGGAGAAGACTTGAAGGAAGCCCGGTGCCTCGGTGACTAAGGACATAATGTTTGATTATGAGAATGAAAGGGGATTGATTAATTAGGGTGAGTTTTTGTTGAAGTTTTTGTGGCTTAAGAGGGACGAGGGATGTGAAGTTTTTGGTGTTTGGTGTGTGGTGGGTTGGTCGTGAATTTTGTAAGGTTTTTGTATGGGAGATTGAGCTTCAAAGATCACCTCATTCTCGTGATCATCACATAATAGAAGAATTGAATGCATTATTTGCATGATATAAGATAAGGGCTTCTTTTTTTGTTTGGTGGGAAAAGTTTTATTATAATACTCAAACTTTAGATGATCTTTCACTTGTATCATCCGATATGCTCTAGTCTTGTAACTAGCTATATGAATATTAATTTTTAGATGGCAATGCAAAAACAACATTATAGACGTCATACTTTTTAATTTTTTTATCAAATTTTGATGTATAATATTTCAAACTAATTACATTTTGACGTGTTATAAATGACATTTATATTGGAGATATAAATGAAAAAAACAAATATTATACGTACCTCTATAAATAAAATTTAAATAAACTATGAATCACAATTGAAAAATATTGAGTTATATATTAAGCATATTATATATGAGTTAGAAAAATTATTATAATATAGCAAAATATTATTATAATATAGGACGGCCGAATCTGAATGACATGTGTCACTTTAAATATAACAAAAATGTAATTTCAAGAAGTATTTAAAAATATAAAATTAAATTTTTTCTGATTATTTAAAGTAAAAAATTCTTAATCGACAATCATATATATCTTAGTGCAATTATAATATTTAGATAGATCAAAAACATTAATTATTTGAATATCTGAATATCGAGTGAAAAAATAAAAACCAATAAATAATTAATTTTATGAATATGTAGAAAGTGAAAAATAATAATCTATTACTATATAATACGGAGAAGGAAAAATGTTTGAATAAATATTTCATTTCCCGCTTAAATATCATTTTTTCCCTCTCAAATTTTTCGAAAATTACCTATTTTGGAAACTCTTTTTGAATTTTTTTCATTTATCCCGCCTAACTTAATTTGATTTTGGATGTGATTTATGGAAATCGGATTGTTTTATTTTAGGATAAGATTTGGTTGTTTTTTTGTTAAATTTGTTATAATTCCTTTTCTTTAGGATGAGATGAGATTTGTTACCATTTTTTTAAAATCCGATTTGGTACATTTTTAATTCACTCGCTTTTCCTTTTTTTT